TACGGTTACAAACTTACAATCTTCACAATTGTCGGTAGAAATGTCTCGTGCCACACTGACTCAATAGTTTTTCAAACAACTTACATTATAAAAATACATATATGTTTAACATACTGTAATTAATGATTAAAACGCTTAATTAAAAAAATAAAAGTTTATTCATGTTTAATTTATGAAATTTTTGTCATATGTATTTTAAATGAAATTGAACAAGTTGAATGATGTCTTACCAAAACCATAACTGGAGGCAACAACTTAAAATTCAGTTGTGCGATGGATCATGAACGAGCCAACATGCATTCTCATTTTATTTTATTTTTCGTGTTGGCCATCAAAAACTTATACGCTACTTACTCAGAATCTCTAAGAGAGTTGAAACTCTAAGATACGTTTCATAATTTGAAAATCGATGTCTTTATTTTGTTGAGACTGTTGGGTAGGTTTATTGTGAGAAGATTGTGAAAGTAATGAGGATGATGCTGATCCACAATGTTGACTTTTTTTTTTTTTTTTCCTCATGAATCTTGACCTTTTAGTTTTGAAAAATTTGCTTGTTTGTTTGTAGTTAATTCTGGCGAAAATCCGAAGAATTTTTTTTTAAAGAAAACTATAATTTTTTTTACTACTGTTTAGTTATTTCCGGACCTCCGCCAACTAAATTGAAACGTTTGTTTCCATTATTAATCTAATCTTAAGAGCTTTAAATGATACTGTTTGTGTAAAAACTCTTAGTGATCATACAAATTACACGGCATGAATCAAAATATACAAACTAGGCTCAGTTATAAAAAAAAAATATAGGCCCAGTAGGCATTTTGTTTCATGAATTTAATCGGCCCAATCTTAGTGTTGACATTGTCGCTAAACGTGTTTTTGTGTTGCAAAATTTGACCCCAAGAAAAAAAAAAAGAGAATAATAATGAGTAGTGGGTCTCTTACTATGACTATTTACCGTAATCATCGCCGGTCATCTTTGATTTATGTTCCTTAAGTATTTCATTATCGTATATGCGTATAATTTGCTTTCTTTTTAATATTTTTCTTCACAAAGCTTTGAAATTATTGCTTTTGAGAGACCAAATTCTGAGTTTCCGACCAATCAAAGTCAACCCATAGTGTCCGAGTTTAGGCAACATGCATTACATTTACACTTCCAAGTTCGAAATTTCATTCTTTGCGGTTAATGGTAGACTTTTACTAATCTTTTTTTTTTATACTGTAAATGGTTCGAGACTTCTGTTGACATTTGACAACAACAAAAATGGAATACTTCTAAAAAGCCTTTTCTGTTTCTTTTCTTACAGTATATTCTAACTTATTTTACACACATCCTTATATACCTTATAAAATGGGCATGTGTACTCAGCATTTACATGCATAAAAAACTATTGCAACTTTAGGAAGATTTTTAAAACTGAAGTAATTGAGTGTATCTAATATATATAGTAGACATATTTATGGGTAATTACTTGTCTACGTGCATAAAGATTCAAAAATGAAATTTTCTATAATAACCAAAAATGTATACAAAGTAACAATTGTAATTCAAACTGAATATATTGTTATTGAAGCCAAAGCCAGTATTTTCAATTTGGTTGACGCAATACCTCTAGTTTTTTATATTGTAACCATTAAACAATACTATGTTTTTTTTTGTTTGCTAAACACTTGAACAATACTATGTTAATGTGGAGTTTCTTTAAAAAAAACTGAAAGTTTTGATAGTGTGATATTTCTTTAGAAGGAATATCA